ACCTTGAAGTAATGCAATGAAAAATTGTACATGAACAGCTTAAAACTCTCCACACCCTCATTTATCCCTCCTAAAAAGTCGCATTAATCTTCTTTGTTTTAAGTTTAATCTTGCATATAGTACATGATGTGATTATTACATGATACACATATTTTGGGTTTTTTTTACTCAGAGTTGCGGCTTTGGAGGAATTTTTTTTTAAAAAGAAGTCAGGTCCTGTACATATAGGTCTGAACCAATCTTGTAATTTGAAACAAAGTCACAACAGAAAATGTGTCAAAGGAGACTAAAATCGCTGCATATGTTTATGTGCCAGTAAAGTTGCAAAAAAGAATTGTTTTAAAGACCGGTTCACAGTCAAATATCCACTGCCTAATCATGCTAATGAATGCTGTGAGCATTCCTTCCATGGACCTCACATTTTGTCTTGGAGTATAGCTTTGAATGTCAGTGAGCTAACATTTAAAAGCCAATCACAGGATCATATTGATTGTTAGTTTAAAAGGTGTTTTTCATCTACCGGTACTGTGGTACACGTGTGCTAGCTGGATGGTTTCATTAAAGTTAAGTTAGGCTTTTGTTGGGAAAGTTGCTATTTATATTCTTTGCAGAATTGAAGAATTTTAAATTGTGCACTTAGATATTGGGCTCAAACAGTAATCCAGGAAGTTGAGGATTATGTACATCTATATGTGGTTCATTACATGACACGTCAGTTTTGCCTCTCAGAGTGGCCTGTGAGATTGTGGGAAATACATGTAGACCATATTGGATCACTTCAGGTACCCACTGCACATGTACATGTACATGAACATCAAATAGGTATTGTTATGGATACATGTAGTTTCATTCCAGGATGTAATTGCGATCTCGTGTACAGTACGTACACAAGTGCACAAATGCAACTTCTCATTTCCTTTTTCCAAGATAAGTTGTGTGCAGTGTCAGCAGTTTATCTTTGCGCTGTTTGCAGGCATTCACAGTCCTAGTGAATATACACACATGTACATGTACAGTCTCCTGCTTGACACAAATGCCTGACTTTCTGTTTCTTTATTTGGTACACCGATTGAAGTTTCCTGTCCTTATGTGTACATGTACAGTACTTCCTGGCTTTTTTCCTCTTTTTTTCCATTTATGTCGTGGAGAACTGACTCTGTTAACTTGCTCATCTAGAAATGGTCTTTCAAATCTGAATACATTTTACATCAAGTGATGATATTCTAGAGATTGCTGTAGATGTTTCAAATAAATTTCTGTGATACAAATGTTCTTTAGAGTTATATATGTTTGTCCTTGCTTTACGCCAATGGAAGCATGTAGTCCAAAGAAAATAGAAAGTGCCATGTACATGATGTACATGTACATGTATTGTACCTGTGTCTACTGCAATATGAACAGGTCCGACATGTACATGTATGTATACAGGGCATGAAACACCCACAAGACTGATAGACAGAGGCCAGTACGCTAATTACATGTATTCATACTGACATGTACATTGATAAAGGCACTGGCCCATCAGTTAAAGGTCTTCTAAAAAAGAAATAACGTGAAGTTTCTGTCAGCAATTTTGTTAATATGGTACAGGGACATGTAGGCTCATTGATGTCAACTTTAGTTGATACACGATTTGCATGACACCCGAAGGTGTTGGTCTAGCAGAGACCCAAAGTTATACACATTGTCCAATGCAATTTCAGTGTACTGCTTTTTTGATATAAACCAGTAACCCTACATAATACTACAAATTACTAGTTGTAGTAAAATGTAGTATTCAACCCTGTCGCTTGTAAGAGGACATGATCTTATTGTTCTCTGAAGCCATAAGATACAATAGATATGACAAATGTGCATTGTACTATATAGCGCTTTGGCAGGATGAATGCATGGCTTTATTGTTCTCTGTACAAGTGACAATGGAAGTAACCTAGCCAGAAGTAGTAATTTGTAACGCTAGGTCCTTCAGGCTCAGACTGCTACTTGGTATTTTGTAGTACTGAGAAGTGTAAGCCAAACAATATGGTGGTTAGGGTTAATTGAAAGTTTTAAAAAATGGTCAGTTTCATTGGGTTAAAAATGTTGTTTCTCTGTTGTTTTTCAGGCTGGTCGAATCGATAATGAACATCCCCAGGTTCGAGGACACAAGGGCAAAGTACTTGACTTGGCTTGGGATCCATTTGATGACAACGTAATCGCTAGCGGCGATGAGCATTCCATAGTCTGTGTGTGGGAAATCCCCGATAGTGGACTGACAGAGTCGATCACTGAACCTCGTGTAACACTCGATTGTCATCAGAAGAAGATTGTCAAGATTCTGTGGCATCCAACAGCCAGAAACATTCTGCTGACCTCTGGTTGGTGATTTCTGGATTTCAATACTTTTAAAATCTCTACTGTTTCCTTCTGCTCCCTTAACACCTTGCTCTGCCTTCTTGCTTAGCCCTGAGATTATGCCAAGTACCGGGTATGTTCTAAAATGTAAATATGGTACATATACCACTGTGAAAATTCACTGATGTACTTTCACGATATGCCTGTCCAGGCATAAATGAAGTGTACAGTCGAACACAATTAATATAGAAATGCTTGAGACGAGATCACGCTTACCATGAGCATATTTCTTCAGTCCCGTTCAAATGTACATATTCCTATGAGAGAAAACTTACTTAACCCTAACCC